GCCCCCACAGTCTGGGTTCTCATTTTACCCACCTCGGAAGGATGGAAGGCTGAGTCAACCCTGAGCCGGTGAGATTTGAACCGCTCAACTGCAGCTAACAGTCAGCTGAAGTGGCTGCAGTACTGCACTCTAACCACTGCGCCACCTCAGCTCCATTTGGTTTAATTGGACCTTGGTTTAATTGGAGGTTGAATTCCTACCAACTGCTTGGTGAACTTCTTAAAAATTGTATACTAAATGTCTCACAAATAACCTTTATGAAACAAACTTTGTTTAAAGTGTTAACACCAAACAAACAATAAGGCAGAAAACAATACTCTAATCAAGGAACCACCAAGGACAAACACCAACCTCCACCAATATTGGCAGTGTAGAAGATATTGTGTATAAACAGGAAACAAATTCCATATTTTCTAGCACTGGTGATGCATCATTGAGTCATGCTCAGCCAAACAACCAAGCTCAGAGACCAACAAGGACTCCAAAATGCTTTCATTATCTCACTGGTCTCGAAAGGGCGAAGCCATTGCTCAGATAGCATATTCTCATATCAGCCTTTAGTACTTATCTTGAAATACTATAATATTCCAATCATACTGTTAATCTATCTGTAGGGTTTCAAATTTGGGAGAGACTAAGCTAAACTGTGCCATATGCACATAGCTCTTTGTTTTGTACTTTTGATTTTTTAATTTATTTAGAAGGTTTTAGTAAAATATATCTTTGTTTTAAGTGTATCTAAAGATAAAGATTTGTGAAATAAGTTACTGCTGCATTTTTCTTCCATTTTCTTCCATTGCTGTGGTTTGTCCATTCAGTTCTATGAAGCATTCTGTAGAACAGCTTGATAGTAATTCCATGGCTTTTTGATATACATGGAAAATAAGACGGAAGGTTCTGTGCAAATGTAATCCACTTAGTTTAGTCTATTATGAGACAGCAAAGCCAAGTTACATCAACTCTTGCAGGGACCTGATTCTACTCAGCTGTATAATAGTGATGGCAGTTGGCCAATGAGAGCAACAGTTTAGGAATAACCTTTGGGAGTTTTGTTCTAACAGAATGAGCGACAGAAAAAAGTCAGAGAAGATGCAATAATAAGCTTAAGTGCCTGATTTGTAACGATCAACTAAAAAATATCTTGGCTTCTTATGGAAGCCTAACTACTACAGAGCAGGTACATCTCTATGCCTGGACTGTATTTTATTTTGATCAGCTGCAGCATAACAGAGACAGGTAATTATCATAATCTTGCAATTAGCCTGGCATTCTTTTCCTAAGTTTAATTACCCAGATAAATAGTAATTGAATACTGACGGTTTAATGACAAAAGGGAGACATTTTATCCGGTCTTAGACATTGCTTTCCAGGTTTGAGAATGATTATTATATCATTATTATGTTCACAGTGTGCATTTTACTTCACTTGCAGAAGTACTTTTCTGCATATTGTTAAAATTAAAAAAGAAAACATAAAGATCCAGTCTCTTCCTATCTTGTTTTAGCCTGCAAGATCCTGAAAATAACACCAAACTATTGTACAATACAGTTTTTTAAAAATATATGATTATGTGCATCTAGAAGTGTCTGGTTGTGAAAATAAGTTGAAATTAATAGTTTACTGGTTATGTATTACAATGTTCTGTAAATTTGAACAAGTAAACTGTTTTCAAACACAAATCTGTGGAAAGGAGCATACAAATTTGAAAAAAAGCATAAAACATTTAATAGCTATTTCTGAATAATGATTTAGCATAATTTCAAACATGGAACTAAGCACTGTTTTTGCAATCATTATAAATATTTTTTTTTTATATTTCAATGTATTTAGTGAGTAGTTACATAAGAAAGAATATTGGGGGGGGGATGTAATTAATACAAAGTTATTAATGATTCAGAAGAACGATGAATTTAAGTCCAGAGTTCAGTTTGAATAATACTTTACTGCACATATTGATTGGTTTGTGATTTTGAATTCATGAAGTCTGTAGTATTATGCTATATCATTCGAAATTATTTATGAAAAATATAGTAAGTGGTTAAATGTTGATTTATACATTAAACTAAAAGCTATTTAATTCTAGATTTGAAAAAACACAGACAACCACTAGGGTAATAAAATATATACTTTTGCTGCTCTCTAGTGATCATCCAGATATTTGCATCACAATATTAGTGGCTCTAAGAAAACTATAATTAAGAGTAATAATATTTTACTGTTTTAACAATTTGGCGACATTAGAAATGATGTCATGCAAAGCTGATATTGCAAATAGCTTCTGCCCTACTGTGGATTCCACTGTTTTTAATCATCTTCTACTTTTAGATTTTACCCAATACATGCACCTGTGTGTATATGTCTAATAAATAAAAATACAGTTGTTTTGCATCTTTAGTGCAGCACTTTATTTATTAAATCTTCTGTCATCCTAAATAAGTTGATATGTGTAGGTCTAAAACAATGTTTGTCATGTATCCAGGGAACTTTCAAATATACTTTTGGCCATCCCCCTGCCCTCACATTTCGTTCTCACTGATAGTGAGCATCAGCTCATTGCAGTGGTTTGAATATGTACCAGTGTGTTAAATTGGGTTAAATTGTTTATAAAGCAAATTATCTGCAAAGGGAGAAAATCTGCTGTGAAACCGAAAATAGGGGGTGTTGTGTTCAATTAGAAGTTCTATGCCTTGCATTTTAAAATGCAAAATGTGACTCAGATATATTTGATTTATATGGAAAAGTCCCAAGCAGGAGCTATTGTCTTTCCCACTCCCAACTATCTGATAATGAATAGTTAGTGTCTTGTTATACTTTTTTAATGCTACAATTTTATGGTGTTTCTTTTTTTTTAAAGAGAATAATATGAAAGGGATTAATACACACAAAATGTTATAACATATTGAATACTTAAATAAATTCCCTCTTCAGTATACAACCAATATAATTAGAGTCAAGTCCTGATTTGCCTTTATCTCAGAAGTACTGTACAGATATGAAAAAAGACATATAATACTGATTTTGCATACATATTAGTTTGGAAGAGGCAGTGCAAATTGTTTTGTTTCATTTTTAATTTACTTGCACAGTTCTTTAGGAGTGTTTTCAAATGCATTAGTAATTTCGGTTACACATGTCTGTAAAGCAATTCACATTTTTATGACATAAAATTATAACAGGTGCCCTATGCCTGCCATACAATAATCTTTTACCCAGTGTTTCGATTTGAAAATTGGTGTTGCTAGCATGTGAGTATCCTGAACCAATATCTGGACGCAGCTATGGGAATTTTGAGAATTAATAAAGTGACACTGACTCCTTATAGGGTAATCTGGAGAGGTGGTGGTGAGAGTTCATAGATTCAGTCATTGGGATTTTTACATGATGTGCTCTAAGAAGGAACAGATACCTAATTTGGGAGAGGGGGATAATGTTATCATAGTCACTGGACCATTACTTTCATACCTAGGAGCACCAATCTTCACTTTATATTCCAGTTATATCCTTGCAATAGAGTGGCAACCTAGCTACTAATGCATTCTGTGTAGGAGCACATTGGCACTTAGTCCAAGTTCAGCTATTTGAAATGGTTGCAGTGTCCCGGGGTGGTGTAATTGCAATTTGTGATCTTCTGAGCTGGCTTCCAATAAGCAAAGTCAATGCAGGAAGCTGGATTCACTTAATGTCCATGCCAAAATGTTTTTAAAATCAGGTGGAGTCACGTGATGGCTCATTAACAACTGTATCACTTAGCAATGGAAGCTGTGCTCCCAATGATAGTCATAAGTTGAGGACTCAGAAAAACAAATTGCAATATTTGAGACAGGGAATTAATAGGAAATGGTTAAACCTTCCTTTTTGTATAGACACTATCTTTTAGAAGCAGTCTTTTCCAAAAAGTTTAGTTTAGTTTAGTTTATACACAACCATAAGTAAGGCAGAAAGATGATCTTGCTACTCCTCCCTCCTTTTTGAGAAAAAGAGAGAGAAGTGATATTGGGAGTTACAGTGATGAAAAATTCTGTTTAATTTACCTTAATATTCAAGACAAAATAAATTCATATAGTAGTGTACCTTGACAGAATTAGAATTTATCTCAAATTTCTTTCTGTACTTCATCCAAATTTTGTTAAAAAACTGTTTTTCAAAAGCAAAATAATGATGAAGGTTGAATAGGTTACTCTGCATATATCCTTGGAGAAGGCAGTATTATTAGTATTGCTTTTCTTCTCAAATTAAATAGAAGGATCCAGTTGGCAGATTTCAGATCCATTAGGTGCTTAAAATATGTGCCTCGGGTGACAAGGATCATTATAGTTAAATATGTCACAGTGTCTTTATTACTCTCTGTGCACTTGATGGATAGCTGGCTGCCAAGGAATAGAAGCCACATATAATGATATGGTAGTGATGACCAGTAAATAGAGAGCAGGAAGGATTGTGTGTGTAATAAATAAATAAATTGTATCTATATTTTATGTATTTATATGCCATCCATGGTTTGTGCAATATGTGACATTCAAATAGTTTGCCTTTCAGAAAAATAGAATATCATACTATGCCTCCTACATATTCATCATTATAGAAAACAAAATAGCTTTTGTGTTTTTGGTAAAATATAGACTGTGTGGCACAATCATAATCTGTTGGCTAATTGTGTTTACATTTGATTAGTGCATCCCAGTGCATCTTGTCTAGTTTGTAGGTGTGCTTGATAAATTTGATTAATACTCCAATAATATGTCACTCCCTGAGTTTATATGCAAGTAAATACCACATTACCAAGTTAGATTCAAGTGCAATTTGTACGTTAAAAAAATTCTTGGTCCATTTACAAATTCAACCTGCAGTATACCATATCAGTAAGAGTTGGAAATGAATTGTTTTAGCTTTACCCCAGCACTATTATAATGACAGCAAAACCAGCCTTACAATTGTTGCAACTAATACTGCTGCTGATAAGAAAAGTGCACTGGTAAAAGTGCCTTGTACTGCCTTTCTCATCTGGCTCTCGTTCCAAACTGTCAGGTGAGTGCTGATAATTCATAGCCTGGAATTCTTTTATCTGAACAGCAGTATCTCTTCTCTGTACTTGGCAATGGAATTATATTGCTTTTTCAAAAATATTTCAAAGGCACACTAGAGCTTTCTTGGATCTTAACTCTTGCCAGCTGTAAGGAAAAAGTCAAGATGAGTGAGTGTTGTAGGAAATGCATGTTCTTGCAATTAGCTTTGGTTGTGATACAAAAAAATACATCCCAATTTGTTGGCAAGCAGGTATTTATACTGTACTTTACATATATTCCAAACTAATCCATGTTTAATTAAAAAAAAACTTTATAGAACCAAAGATTCACTTCTGAAGTAAACTTGATTGTGGAAATAAACTATTGTGCAGATGTAAAAGCAATTGTATGAGGATGAAGGATGTGACTGGGTGAAGCCCTTTCTTTAAAGTACAGTTAATTCAAAACAACTGATCAAATTATTACTTATATTATCTCTGAAGGAAAAAATGTTTCATTTGATCAAGATGTAAAATATTTTTTAGAAAAATTACCTCAGTTGGTTTTGTCTTGATTTTATTTTTAGATTCCAGCGAGGGGATTATCATATTGATGTCTGCATCAATGACTATTTGGATGTATTCTGTCCTCATTATGAGGATTCGGTGCCAGAAGATAAGACTGAACGGTATATACTTTACATGGTGAACTTTGATGGCTACAGCTCCTGTGATCATACCTCCAAAGGATTCAAGAGATGGGAGTGCAACCGGCCTCATTCTCCCAATGGACCATTGAAGTTCTCAGAAAAATTCCAACTCTTCACTCCCTTCTCATTAGGCTTTGAATTCAGGCCAGGCCGGGAATATTTCTACATCTGTGAGTATACAGAGATTTATCATTGTTCTGTAGAATCAGGAGACTGTGGTGATTTTGCCCCTTTGCAGTGGATACATTTTTATGTTCTGGAGAAACGCCTAATTAGATTCTGTAAATCACAGTGGGTTTGGGGAATGTACATATCTAGTTGTATCCATAGGCAATAAATGGGCACGAGTTATTAACAAGGGTTTTCTCTTTTCACTCTGCCCCTGTATTGCTAGAACAGAATTATTATAGCACTGTTTTTCATTTGTGGGAATCACATGCAGTGGACTTTTTTGGTTTTAGTAAAAGTAGACACTTTTAAGCATTGCGAAAACAGTAAGAGTGAACTGAAAATAGCTACAAGGGAAGAACTTTTGATATTATTCTCGTTCAGAGATTTTTTTTGTTCTATTTTGTTATTTTAAGAATAGAGCATAAAACAGTATAGTCTTATATATATACAAGCCTTTATTCAAGCATTATTATGGTTTAATTTAATAGTTATTACCTTCATTTTCATTTAAATTAGATCTTAGTATGGAAATATTGTGATAGTATGGAAATAGACACACAGACAGATGGTATAGAAATAGACAATATGGAAATACCGCATAACACATTTAAGATGACAGAAACCACACTGGCAAAAAATAATGAAAGAATCATTTCAGAATTATACGATTTTTTTGATTTTCAGATTTTATACTGAAATACCCTTGGTGCCACTAAAATAATATAGCGAAACATTTTATTTTATTTGCATATGGTATCTCTTCTTAAGGCTGAAGTGTCTTTTAACTCATTGTAGCTATTCTTTGAGCTTAAAGAAGATATGAACTACAATTGGAGAAAATTTCCAAGTAAATTGCTAATAAAGAATCTATGTAAATGCATTAGTAAATTACTGTGTGGTAAGATAGGAGGCTATTAAATTTTAAAAATTAAATAAATAATAAGCAATGCACCACTGTTCCCTCTAAGGTGCGCGCCTGCGTGGCCGCGCATGTGGCAAGAAAACCCCGCGCAGCAGTTTCTAACTGCCAAGCAGGGGCCTCACAAAATCTAGGGTTAGCACGGGCACGGGGACAGCGGAAGGAGCTTACGCGGCACAGCTGGTCTCCTAGGACCTCCTAGTTGCCAGCTGCGCCGCTCATTACTGTCAGTCACCCCGTGTTCAGCAAAGCAATAGTGGGGAAATCCTTTGCAGGTGGCTAGAACTGGCCGCCCGCAAAGGACCTCCCCAGACTTGTTTTGATGAGCACGGAACGACTGACGGTAGTTTGTGCCGGCCGCAGCCACTCAAACTAGCGTCAGTCGCCCCCGTGTTCAGCAAAGCAAGCCCACGGAGGTCCTTTGTGGGCGGCCAATCCTAGCTGCTGCGGCTGAAATAAGCCCCCAAAGCCCCTGCTGCCACTGGAATATCTGCTGCCTCCTCCTCCTCCAACAGCACTGCCAGATTTGCCGCCCGACGCTGCGGCTGAGGTGAAGCTGCCAAAGCTCCCGCCAGCACCACTGCCCTGCTGAGGTGTTCTGAGCAGAGGCGAGGCACCGCCGCCGCTGCCATGGGCAGGGGCGCCAGCGGGAGCTTTGGCGGCTTCACCTCAGCTGCAGCGCTGGGCAGCAAATGTGGTGGTGCTGTTGGAGGAGGAGGAGGAGGCGCGGGAGCAGTTATTCTAGTGGTGGCGGGGGCTCGTTGGCATCTTCAGCGGCAGCCCTGCCCCCAGTGAAAAAAACGAAGATGGAACAGATCCACACAGATGACATCGCCACAACATGACTGAAGGAGGAATTCTGGGAGTTAAAGTCCACAAGTCTTAAAGCTATCAGGTTTGAAGACCCCTGAGGTTTTTTTCCCTAAAGGGTTATGGGTTCAAGGATCTTGTAACTTGACAGCTTTAACACTTGCATGCTTCAATGCCAGAGTTTCTGAGCCAACATGACTGGAGGAGGAATTCTGGGAGTTGAAGTCCACAAGTCTTAAAGCTGTCAGGTTTGAAGACCCCTGGGTTTTTTTCTAAAGGGTTAGGGGTGCAAGGATCTTGTAACAACAGCTTTAAGATTTGCGTGCTTCAAATGCCAGACTTTCTGAGCCAACATTTTGGTTGCTAAGCAGGAGCGTTGTTAAGTGATACTGATATTATATAACACTTTTAATTAAGCGGGTATCTTGAATAAACATAACTTTGAGTTTCAAATAATACTGATTTCGTTGTTGTCTTATGTTACATCTGTGAAAAAAATTCAGATGGTCAGGCATGAAAATGTGCCGCTCAAACACTATACTTTTCTGCTCACACTGAAAAAAATTAGAGGGAACATTGCAATGCACACTAAAAAATAATGTTATTTTTCTGTCTTACTGCATCATCAGATAGCCTGCCAGAGGCCCCGTTCAAAATGACCCATCCCTGCTGATTAGAATATTGCAGATCTGTGTGATGAATATGCTGGTACATACAGCTGTTTGGATCCACTCTGTTAAATTTTGTCTGGCTGGTCCTATTTCCTAGAAGGTGGTTGATTTTGTGATTTTTGAGGAAGCAGACAGGAGTCTCCTGAGTGTTATTCAGTCCACTTGTTTAATTACCATATTTTTTCAGACTATAAGATGCTCCGAAGTATAAGACGCACCTAGCTTTTGGGGAGGAAAACAAGAAAAAAATCTGCCTCTGCTTCCATGAAGCTGACCATGCTGTTTGCCTCCTTGAAGCAAACAGCATGGTCACTTCAGCCCAGCCTGATTTAGCACAAACAGCTGATTGTTAGTTGGATTGGCCTCTCGGAATATCTCCTATCAGCTGTTCTAGACTGTGTTGGATCACCACCGCCAATTGTCACTGTCGGCACTCATTGCCACTGCCACCTATTGCCACCTCCATGTGCTCCATTTTAGGCTTCCGCACATCCTGTTTTCAGCCCATTCCAAGTGAATCACCATTGCCTATCCCTGCTGCCTGGAATGGGCCAAAAATGGGACAGGTGGAGGCTGAAAATGGGATGCGTGGAGGTCGAAAATGGTGAGGGTGAAAAAACATGCAAAAAATGGGGGGGGGAGCACCTGGCATGTGTGCATGCATGCTGAAGAGGATCTAACATTATAGGTGTGGCACGCCCACGCATGAGCCCACTGCGTTCCCCCCGCTTATGGCACGTGAGCCCAAAAAGTTTCGCCATTGCTGTTCTAGGGCACCTCTCTTCCTCCATAGCAAATACTGGAATTGAGCCTAGAGGAAAAAGGGAACTGTGGCTGGTTTTGATCAGTGTTGACAGGTGGAAAGAGGTAGAGGTTGTTTCTGCCTTCCGCGTAAAAACAAAGTTGGTGTGTTTTGTATCCCATCCATTAAACAATATTTTCTTCTTGGAATAGCATATAGTTCAGACTCATATATTCAGAGCATGTTATCATATGTTCAGATTATAGTTCAAAGGTTCCGACTTTTCTAAAATTCCTTGCATTACGTTTACCTTTATGCTACTTATTGTTTTGTTTTAAAGTTTTATATCTTTTAAAATCTATACGCCAAAGTGTTGAATTATTCTATTAATCTAAATTCCAATCAAATGAATGAATAAAAAATCCCTATCGCAGCATTTTCCCACAAGATTTGAAGTCATTGTTTTGCAAACATATCCTAGAGTAGTAGTCTTATAGCTGCACACAGAAATGATTAAGATTTAGGCCAGCAGTCACGAACTGGTGGTCTGTGGACCTCTGTTGGTCTGCAAGAAAACTTTGGTGGTCCGCAGGAAAATTATTTGCATTTTGTATATTGCACTAACTCGGGTCCTCAAACTATGGGCCTTGGTCCGGATACATGCAATGAAAGTTTGTGTTGCTGCAGACAGTCTCTCCCTTTGGGGTATTTTTTTGTAGGGGTCAGGGGGGAAGAGAAATTCCAACTTGGAGTCTGCTTTGACATCACGGTGTGGGGCTTTGGGTGAAGGTTGGAAGGAAGTTCCGCTGGTGGCAAAGTGCTGGAGGGCCTTATTTCAGTGGACTGTATCATGGCCTGGAACTGGCTGACCATTTCAGCCTGCTGGGTCTCCAGGCGCTGGTACCTGGACTTGCATTCCAGCAGATCTTCCCTCTGCTTGGAAAGCCTATGCTTGTAGTCCTCAGTGAGATGCTTCTGCTGANGCAGTAAGAAAAAAAGAAAAAACTTCCTCCCTTTTCCAGCAACTTAAAGCTACAAGACATGAAATTAATTTTGAAGAAACCAGGTTAATCTCCAAAACTGAACAGTTCAACAAGAGAATAATTATGGAAAGTATGAAAAATATTAAACCTCTTGTAGTTTCCAAATAAACTACCTATTGCTGTAAATATATTTTATGAACAGTGATTGTGACCCAGTATCCCCTCACCATTTCCTTAAAAAATAAAGAAAAAGAAATGCTTTAGTTAATTACAAAATAGTTATTGGCTTTGTTTGTATAGAAATTTTGTTCGCATTTGAAAAAAGAATTATAATAATGTGATCTGGAATTCATTCTGTATCCTCAAAAAGGGAGGGAAAACCCTTGGATGCTATTTTTGCCTACAGGCTGCTGAGAGCTGATTATTCTTCTAATCAGAGCCGCTACAATCAGGGGAGACAATTAGCTAGGTTAGGTCTCGGCTGATTTCTCATATGGCCCTTAGCATCAGATGGCCTTGAGCACTCTTGAATCATGCCAACAAGTGTCCCTGTAGTTGTATTCAGCTCCACCTGCTGTCATTAATATTCTTTTTATCCCTAGGGGGGTTGATTTTGTGTATTCTTATTTATATAAAATTCAGGCTGCAAGAACTTGCCACCTTCAGTAGAAAAGAGTACTCTAGACTTAGATGAGTTTAAGCAGCTGACTTGTGCTGCAAATTTCATTATCTGAAATGTGTGATATATATCTGAACTGTCTTTTTCTTTTTTGTTTATGATACAAATAGCATGTACTTATTATATATAGCTTGAAATATACTCTAGCAAACAGGGATTAACAGGTGCAGCTCAAGAGACTTGCAGAGATAAAAG